GCCAAGAAGAGCGGATATTTTTTATCCGGTGGAAACGTATGATCGGCGACGATTGTAATTTAGGCGCTATAATTGCATCCGTATTGTGAAGTTCGTACACGTGCGTAATCCTTTTACCCGGCTACCATCGCCGATAAGAAAAAAAGATACGCTAACGCGATCGATTAATCCTGGCGATGTTAAATGTTCGGTTACGCGTACCGGACGATATTCATTAGAGGGAATTGCGTAAAACGGACGCCTTCGATCGGTATCATTTATCATCGGGTAATTCTACTTGGAAATTTATTTCAGGTGTGTCATTAACCCTTATTACCGATACTTTGGAGGAGGATGTTCTGAAAATTCTGGGAATTATTCTCTACATAATTCATTTTATATGTTCTTAAACAATACCAGACACTTGACGTTGAGTTTCAGGCGAAATTTTCGTTTTTCAGAACTTACCTTCGAGTTTCTATTTTTATTGCAAGAAGGTTGAAATATGTCATTTAAATGAATTAGAAGTTTTAACCCTTTGAATGCTGAGTACTCCAGGCTTAAAGATTTGAAATGGGAATTAAGTCAACAACACTTATCATTTTTCTTTTTTATTTCATTTCTCAATTTATTTTTCCATTTTTTTTTTTTTCATTGTTTTATTACATTATTGTGATCTGATAACATAGGACGTGTAATTAGTAATATGCATTGGTAACTTTTATTTGATTATAATTAAGATACATAAGAAACAGATAGTAGTCAAAGGGTTAATAAATATCTCAGAATTTTTTCAGACTTCTTTTAAAGTCTAGAATAATATAAAATCAGGCTCAAGAATGAAAGACCTAGTTAACCGATTGCGTTAATGAGAATAAAAAATATACTAATCGAATTGAGTAACCCCCTCCTTTTTCGAAGTCGGTTAAAAAAGAACATTGCCAATGAAGGGTTAAAAGACCTGGTGACTTTCAAATAGAAATCATAGTTACACCAGTGAATCTAGGGATAAATCCATCATCATAATGGAACATTATAGTAACAGGTCAATTATGAGCAATCTCGATTCGTATTTGCCGTTATCAAAATGATCATTGGTCGTTTGTCGTTGCTGCTCCCACCGCGGTGTCCCGAAAAGGCGTTACACCGTGTCGCGTTTCAATCTCCCCTCGGATCTGAAAAGGAAGGATCCCGTGTGCATGTCTGGTATCTACAAATGGCAGAACAGTATCGTACGATCGATACCAATAGCGGACGTGCATGCTCGATTCCCCGAAGAACGCGCGACACCGTCCGCGTCCTCTCCCTCGCTTTCCACCAGCTGCCTCGCAGCCTGCCCGTCGCGGGAAAAATCCTCGACACAATGCCGGTGCTTCCCGGAAGGTAGCCAATGCCCGTAAGCATCGCATTAGAAAAATTGGCGGACATTGTTGTGACCGGTCATTCCGCTTCTAGGAATGCGTGTCTCGCAAATTGCCGACCTGTTGTCCCGTACTCTTTCTCCTCCGATTGTTCAACTCCTCCGAGCTCTCCTTTTCTTACCATTTAATCGTACCTTCTTTCCTCTTCAAAGAGAACTGTACACCGAACGTTTTAAATTTATCATTCTAAATGTATTATACGTGTACACCGATTTTAAAATGTCGCCCACCCTACCGACGTGATCAACGCCCCGGATAATTGCAGATTTCAATTAGCACGTAATTAGAGAGCGAACAGACTAGCGACAGCCACGTGATTCACCGTGATATTTATAATAAAATTCTTGTAAGAATGTAATTGTTAAATTACAATTACGAGCCAGATTATTTTCCATTAGAAATACAACAAAATGTATGCGAAATTAGAAGTTAGATTAGTAGAAAGGTTCGCTTGCAATTCTAAGCTCAATGTCAATCTTCATTCAATTAGAACGTAATTAGAGAGCGAACAGACCAGCGACAGCCACGTGATTCTACGCGATAATTATAATAAAGTTCTTGTAAGAATATAGTTAAGTTACAATTACGAGCCAGATTATTTTCCACTGAAGATACAACAAAATTTATGTGAAATTAGAAGTTAGATTAGTAGAAAGGTTTGCATTCAATTCTGAGCTCAATGTCAATCTCCATTCGAAGAACTAAGAGAAATAGATTAATTCCCGGTAAAAAGGATCGACGTTTAGTTTCCACGAAGAAATTAATGAAACGCCGAATAACATTGCGTAGACTGGAAAGTCTTATCGAAGGCTCGTTACTCCTGTTAGCTTGCACGAGGACGATCGCCGCTCCTATTAGATCTCTCGCGTATCTCTTGCGCTGAGCTAATAGACCGTCGAAGGCCGATTCCTGTCCGATTTCGCTGCCAATCAGAGGTGGGACGATGGCAGTGTCGGTGACACGACGCGGACGTCGGTGTCCCAGGCATGAGCGCTGGTCGTCGAGCAAGGTCCGATCGTAAATCGAGCAGAGACAAGAGTGTCGCGGCGATGCGGAGTCTTGCTCGTCGGCCAATCAGCGGGACGAGCACCTCCGATAAGCGATAAATCACGCGGCTTTCGTTCCAGCCGTGCCAGCGTGGAACCACGCGTGTTCCCCAAGTGTTCCCCGCAATTAGTGTCAGCCCCCCTCCTGATCGATCGTCCGTTCGCGGATTCTTCGCGGCCAGACGTGGCCCTCCTTCGACGGGGACGCGTCGGCATCCTGACCCACGCCAACGCCACTACCCTGACGACTCTGTTCCTCGAACTCTCTTTACGATCGCTCATTTCCACGATCCAGGGAACACCTGCATCCTTCTAGGTCGAAACGGTGACCACAGGAGGATGGGTGAAGGTTTCAATTTTCGCTCCTGCCAGGTGGAAATTGAATTGCGTACCAAATGGAAGATTATGGTGAGATATTAATAGCAGACGATTTATATTTCAAAGTCACGAAGCACACATTTGGATTATTTTAAAAAATTCTTCAATATTCGCTATAAATAGCGAACGTCTCTATCATAAATTCTATAGGATCAACGATTCGGCTATTTCGTGTCTCGACATCTTTGTTCCAACTTGCATACTTCCCTTCGTTAAGAAGAAATTGTCATATTTTGCGACCGTGCGTCGGTGATATGTTACACGATTATAAAAATTCGAAAAATATTTAATTTTCCCAGTGACGTTTATTCGTCGTTCTTTGTACCTGTTTCGAAGCTATAACCCGTACACTGTTGTAACGTTGCACGTGCCATTTTTCATATTCTATTATATATCGTTCGAATGCGTGCAATTGCGTGTGTATGTGTTTTATGTTACGCGAAAACCGGCGTAAAATAATATTGCAGTAGGTGACACGTTCCAGGAATAAGCCGGCACCTTTTACCCCCTGGATAGTAGACTAAAGTTTTCAATGGTTCGCAGATCCGATCATAAAACGTGGCAATTACTCTTCGGCCGGTGTCGATTTAACGATACACGATGTTTTACACTTCCATACTTTCTTGTTCCCGTTACATAACGATATGAATTATGGCTCGTCGCGAGGTATACGGCCGGCGCTTGTTTCTATTTATTTACTACTTACACAGGCCGTGTAATAGAATCGTAGCCGTTCACCGTTCGAGAACTGGGTGTTGTAATAGGAAACGAAGGGGATCGATCGTACGGGCGGTCGAATAATTAAGGGAGCCGATTGGTTGGGAAATCGATATCGTACGGTAACAACGAGGATCTTGAACGGTGATCGCTGCCTAATTCCATATGTGGCAATTCCCGAGCGGAATATATATCTGTTCGCTACCCGATGTGTATCCATCATGATCTATCCATTACGCGCTACCCGTCACGAACCATCCGTCTTGATCTATCGCGAACCGATCCAATAGAATTAGAAACCATAAACTGGAACCGTCTGGCCTCCGTTTCTAATCGTGGACCTGTCTTCGATAAAATATCACTGGCTACCACGGCTCGACGTATTATTGATTCAATTCCCGCCCTGGAAATCTCCGGGCACCGGCGAAATTAAGTCATCGTTTGATAGATCGCGTCGATTCGTCCACTTTTATTTCGGGGCAACAGGTCTGACGTCGGAATCAATTACACCCGAATCTGTAACGTCGATTCTTTGCTGGAGGTGAAGTACCTTAATCAACCGAGATTTCTTCAACGTTTCACCGCTTCTAATGGTATTCCTCTTGTGTCCATTGATTACTTAGAAAATTATTGTATAATACATCGAGTATGACGGTAACGTGATTTATTTGAAAGATTAACGTCAGCCTGGCCACTTTTTATTGCTACTTTCTCTTTGAATATTAATACATGTAATTAACGTCTAAGTAAAGGATTAGGTAACTAGGTATTCACCCTTTCGCTTCATTAATATGGAATTGTTAGAGCATTTAGAAGCAAGGATTTTAGAGGAAGTTGAACGGTGTAGAGGAACCGAGAAAGCATTTGAAAATTGATAGATATAGAATTATATGAAATTGAAAGAAGAATTTTAGAACAACTTGGACGGCACAGAGAAACTAACGCTGGGGGTACAGTTCTGTTTAGTCGGTCAAGGCAAAAATTTCGAGCGTGCTTTCATCGGAATGGAATTCTAATGGGTGACGGGCTTCTTTCCTTCTGGCAGGTCAGCACCGTCCCTATTTTCCATCGAAACACCGTCATCTCTGCCCGCAATCAGAGTCCCGCGAGCGAGCTGACAATCCTCGCGAGCGACGGAATGTCTCGGTTCGTGGAGCTATTCCAAGAACGTCGACAGACGTTCTGTTCGACCAGAACCGTAATTGGACGGAAATAAAATCCAGGTGACAATATTACACCTGTTCAAAGACGTTTTTCATAAGAATATCCCACAGAACGGATCCCCGTTAAAGGTGAAAGGGTTAACAAATTGCTAACGTCAGAACGTTCGAAATAAGGTGAAAGAAGCGGGTTTAACACGGTATCGCATGCGGTGGCTCTATGAAATTCGACATTTTTTTTTTCTTTCGTACCCAGTGTAAAAAGAAACGAAGAGTGCTCTTATTTTTTTTTTTCTTAGCCGCAGGCGCAATATCTCGGACGTATTACGAAGTTACGAAGGAAGCCGATGCCCAACTGGAGCTCCTCATGCCACTCCCACCGTATAATCAGGCTTCTTGGCCCGCCACTGCTGGATGATAGCCTGCGATGCTCCCTTTCTGCTCGTTCTTGCCCTCCCCAAACCCTGTGTCCCGCGGCCTGTTTTTCTTTACGTCGTTTCCGAACCTTCGTGGCCGTCTCTCTTTCTCTGTGTACATCTTCACGCGCGGTAACCAATAAAAGCGGTTTCGGTAATGAGCGGTTGCTCGAATCTTCGGGGCCCTCGGCCGCTCTTCTTTTACGCCCCTGAACGCTTGGCCCATGGCCTCGCCCTACGCGATCTTCCTGCTGGCGCTCGATAATATCCCGCTCCCGAAAGTGAAATCCGCTGACAGAATCTCTGCACCGTTTTAATTTTTCTCAACGTTTTTTTTTTCTGAATAATTGCGGAAAACCTCAATTATTTCGAGTGATCGAGCTTTTTCAGAGATCGATACAGGTGTTAGATAAGATTTAGAAAGTTTCTTTCAATTTGTCCTTGCGGACACCGGTACTACGGAGAACTCTAAAATGTAGGGTTTTTGTTTATACTCGCTGTTATTTCGTAGAGAATTTATAATAAATTGGTAAGGAACAGGTGAAAGGATCGTTGAATATTTATGGAATTGCCATTCAATAAAATATCCTCCGCGTTGCATTTATTACACGGATATAAGAGCGACGGTAACTTGTAAATACAAGCTGAAACTAAAATTCATACGCCCCGGGTTGTTGCCAGTTTTCCGATCTAATAAACGTTTAATTGAAAAGTCAAGCTACTTTAACGATGCTCGGTTAGGGTTGCGGTGAACACGAGCCAAGGAAGTAATAAGCTTGCAGCCAGCAGGCTAAGATAGATTGCCTTAAAAACACGGCCACCGCATCCGACCGAGCGATATTTTCTCTCTCGAGCTGTATCAACAAATAGACTGTCAGAGGGAATTCAACGATACTTTAACCGCGATGGCGATTTCTTCTGAAGATAGAAATTCAAGTAGATATTCAATAAAAACTTTTGCAATTGGTTAAGTAAAATTATTTTTAATTATCTAAAATTTTTCTGTGCTAAATAGAATTAAAAAAAAAGAAATTAGGAAGATAAAAATTCGTTGAGATCTCACGGTGAAACGTAGCAGGACATCGGGGTTCGTTCCGTGACCGGTGTTCGCGCGAGGTTCATCCTCGGACGAACAGCCCCCTCGGAAGGAATATCGCGGGCGTATCACGATTCACGTATTATGGTCGTGGTAATCCGATCCGGCGGGATTACCGGTGGAATCCACGGGAGGACGAGGTTTGACGTATCGCGCTGTGCAAGGGAAAAGTATCGTCCGCCTCCGCAGAGCCGGTATCGAATGCTCCGATGCGGCTGTCCCGAAACACCTTACGGTTCTCGAATTACCTCCCTCGGCCCCACCTTAAGTATCCCCGAATCGAGCTCGTGGTATGTCAATAAAAACAACGGAGTCGCCGCAAGGAATTTCGCTGGAGATTGCAATGCAATCGGGCCAAGACAAGCCATCTGCGAACGCGGCATAACCCTTTGACTCCGAACAAATGGAAGGTGTACTTTTACTTCTAAATTCAAGAAGGTACGCGTGTTAAAAATATTTTATTTGAAAAACAAACAAAAAAATTTAAATAGAATATACAATGGCGATAAAGTTAAATGTATGGAGCTGTTGCAAGGACAGAAGCAAGTTGTTCGAACGGGGAGAAGCACAGGTCGACGGGTGAAAATGAATTTCGATGCGTGTTGGCACGCAGTAACGCAGTATTTTCAAGCTAGAAGCAATAAGGGGACGGAATATTCAAATCGAACGATCTACCGGGGTCCGCATTGGTTGTATGCTAATCTAATCCCGATAGAAGCCGCGAAGTTACTATCGTCCTACGCTCGTTGCTGGCTAGGTCATTGAATTCCCTGGTGTTTCTTCATTATCTCATTGAATACTAACAGCTTGACAGTGTTTCCTCATCGGTCGTTCTTCCGCCTCCTTTGCATACGCCATAGACGATCGTGGATCGTAATAGCCTCTCCGTATTTACTCGTTAATTCTTCGTATGCAAACGCGTGCCACACCCTGGAAAAATCGGGCGAAAGGTCAGGAACTGGCCCGGAACGACTTTCCGACGTATCGCGATTCAACCTGGATACACACCGTCTACTTACACGCTCCTAGATAGAAGCAGGAAAAGATTTCAAGAGTAATCGATGCTCGCTGGTATGCGGCAATGAATTCTTTCGATACTGGAAAATTTAATTTCCTATTAATTATGAAACGCTTTGGAAATGATATCATCGATAGTTATGATAATTATCATTTTTTTTAAACATATTCAACGCCGAACCGCTACGTTGGCAATAATTTCAATTTAATTTTAGACATTTTTCTTATTTTCATTTTATAAGTTTTTGTTATATTTTTCGTAAGTCTTGATGAATTACATTAATTCTGTCGCGTCGATTATTAATGATCCCCTAGGAAGTCATTGCAATGACAAAGGACATTGATTCCATAGACATCTCGTGGCAAGTGGTTCCGTATGTCGCGATAAAAATCATCGTCATGGCACATGGAGCACGTGAGTTTCGTAGCTGTTCGTGTAATTCGTGACTGACCGTTACAAGGTCTGCCGATAGACTCGCATCCTGGGCCGTTACAACTATGTACGTAGCTAGAGAACGTGCACCGGCACTCGACCCGAAAGATGCACTCGGCTGCACGCGAGGGACGATAGCTTCTCAGGTGTCTGTAGCTCCTGTGAACTCATTCATGCACAGCCAACACCACTGGCTGCCGGCTTTTGCATACACGTCAATGGGATACCAGCTACCGATGATTTTTCTGTTCTTCATTGTTATTTTTTTCAATTTCAACAGATTTTTCACATGTAAAAGTTGTGAAATTTTAGGGAATATCATATTTAAAAAGAAATTAGACGATGAATTATATTGGAGCCCATTGCACTTTTTGAATCTTTTAAAATTTTAGTGCCATATCACTCAATTAATGATAATGATAATAATTTATTTTTTTAAAGTTAATCAATTTGGTAAATGCTCTTATTTAACAATGTCAATCAGAATACTTCTTTCACTAATTTTATCATCTCTTTTCCTCTTCGTTTCTCGAGAAAATAAACGCAAAGAAGTTTGTTAAGCATTAATTGCAGAACATTGAAAGAATGATATTTAACTGGATAGAACGATGATAATGGCCGTTGTTACCCTCAATTAATTTCCCGTGCCTTACAATTCTCGCGCGTTTAACCGTGTACTATCGCTTACACGATCCTTAAGCCGTATCCACACGCGGCTCGTCTACTTAAGGAAACTTGCGCGTGCCTCGTTCTTCTTCCCCTTCAATTAATGTCCACTCATTCTCAATTAATCCGCACTGTCTGTATCGATTATTGCATACCACTTGTCGCTCCGCGGATCAGTTTTACTGTTAAGGCTCGCCCTAACGAAGCACCGTGTAAAAAACCTGAACTTGACGTAGCAATACGTCCGGCCGAAGTATAGATCCCGATGCATTTCTTGCGGTAAGCCTGCCTCTTCGACGAAACGGGCAATAGAATCGATCCTATTCCCGCCTGGAAATTCGCGAAATCATACCGTCTTCCGAGTAGAACGTCGGTGAACGATGTGCAGGCGTGTTTCACATGAAAACACCGATAAAAATTCCACCGTGAAATCAGCTTTCCGTGAGTTTCGCAATGAACACGGTGATCGTTATAGAAACAATCATACTCGAAGAACATTGATTTCTTACATGTCGAAGGACTATAATCGCCTTCGATAGCGGAATGGTCGAATAAGAGTTAAATTAACCATCAACCTCAGCAGATATCCCTTATAAACTCTATATCGGATCGATAGAAATCGATCGATTGGATCGTGTGTACCCGAAGAGGACGGGAGAGGACGAGTTGCGTCACTTCGGGCTACGTAAACAGCAGGTGACTGATTCGACGAATCGGGCAGTCGTATTTTTACCAAGCCGCCCGGCGACCTGACGAGCGAAATAATTCATCCCTGAAAAGGTTAATCGCAGCGGGGCTGCGAGCTTCTTTCGCTTCCGGCGAGGGGGTCCGCGAGTGGAAGAGGAAAAAACGAGCAGCCAAGCAGCAACCAGAGCAAAAGCGGCAACAGAAGAAGAAGAAGAAGAAGAAAGGTAGGAAGGAGGAGGTGGAGTAGGATAAAGATGAAGAGGAGAAGGTAGAGCAGAGTCTTGAAAGTTTTTGGTATTTCGCTCACGCACGCTCGCACGCAAGCACGCACGCACTCGCTCACGCAACAAGAACGTTTCGCAAAAGCCACGCTCCACTACGGAATTGCTCTTATTCGGTGTACTAAGACCGTGCGATAACTCGCGTGTGTTTCGACCCAGTGCCTTTATTCCAACCAGATAAACTGTTTCGATTAATCCCAACACTCCGTTTCTACCTTTACTAGTCTCGTTATTCACCGTGAAAGATTATAGGTACACGAAGAAAAATCACTCGCGTACACGGTTGTTGCAAGTTCGCACGATTAATGGCCGGTAACGAGAGAACAAAGGGAACGTTTGGAAATATTTGTATAATTTATACCTACGATCAACATTTCTATAAGGGTGGTTTACTAAATGACGACTAGGTAATTCATTTCTTTGTAGTCACTTCGAAGTGAACACCTTTTATAAATGATTAATTCATACGTTCGGACGTAAGAAGATATTCATCATCGAGGATGCGATGAGTTTGCACTTTCGCACTGAAAAGCATGAGTTACATTTTAACCGAGTCAGTTGCTATTACGTTCCGGCTAATTAGCGCATCCTTAATTAAACTTCGTTGCACCGTGGATGTGCATCATCGTAATTGACAAACGTGATGGATTTTAATATAGATGTATATCTCTCTTAACCTACTCGAACTTCGTAAGAAACTTGCAAACAGGTCGCTTACCTCCTTCGAAAGAAACCTGCACCTTGAATTCACAATATACGTGTATCTGTTAATTTGATAAATGTACTGCCACTTTGTTGAAAGCCCGTAAAAAAATGACAAGTTTCTTGCAACGCGGCGAAGAAAAATTTATTGCATGCAATTCATTTAACTTAACGACCGTTTCGAAAGGTTCAATTACATATATCATCTTGAAAGAGATTAAAAATAAATTAAATTCGGAAATTTGTTTTTTCAAAGTATTTATAATTGCAACTTTCAACTTTACATTTCAATTCTTAAGCAAATAAAGACGTTGCAAAATGGCTACCAGTCCCGCTAATGATCCCAGTATCAGAATCTACCCTTTCAAAAATAATCACCTCGTTAAAGCAGAAGCTTGCAAATTAAATTACCTACTTTAGTTGCAATTTAGAATACATGAAAAGGCGGATAACAGGGTGATTCGTGGGGGGTGAAGGAGGCAGGCGTATTAGTAAAAATGATCGCTACCACAAAGTAGCATTATGATCGCGATAAGCAGAGGTATCGAAAGTTGCGATGCCAAGCGAATTACCAGCAGATACTGGAACGGGGTAATTTAGATTAGGAGCGCAGCGAGGCCGCGTAATTAAACATAAAATACCGGCGCTCGCTGGAATTTCTAACTAATAAGAGACGATAAGGGGGCCCGACGCCGGCTCGTACATCAGATCGAACCCACGCACCGAGGAGAGCAATTTCATTTGCAACGCGGGGCACGTACGCGGGCAGATTATCAGAATGCTGCGGCCAGCATCGCGGCCACGCTCGCCATGCGGTATCCGTTGGCATATCGTTTCCCCTGATACCCTCCGAGTCCCTAGTTTTCTTTATTTCTATTTTCCATCCACTGGTCACCTGTTGCGTCGTGAAATTTCATTCGACGAAAACGATATTATTAAAGTCGTTCGTAAATAAACGTTGAGGGATGATTATTAAAATGGAGATAGGAAAAATACAAACGTCTTCGCGTTACATCTCTTCCACTCGCCGTTCGTTTTCGCGACGATTGACTAAGAAGTATCTCGCGGATATCGATGAAAGTAATTCGACGGTGAAAACGAGCGAAAGTGAATTCGAGCCGAGTCGCATCTCGATAATCAAGAAACTCGATAACGCTCGGCAAGGTTATCTCATTTGCATACTTATGAATGTTACTCGGGCTTAAAGGTGTACGGAACACGGCGAACCGATGCAGTATACAAATAGGTTCGTGTTAAAATCGTTTTCCAAAGAGCAGCTCTTGTTGCTCGGTACAACTTGTTTCCGCGTTATCAGGACGGTGAACTTAATTCAGTGAACTGGTTAACGTAAATAACGTGTTACAATCTCATTACGCGAGCTTAATCCTTTGCCGAATGAACGGAATCTCGTGGAAACTTATCGCGTTTCCTTGTTCGCCGCCAGCACGGTGTTCGAACCACCGACGTTACAACAAGAAAAATAATTATTCCCTCCGCGGTGAACACGAATTCCGATTCGAGCCGAACGCAACGATATCCGATTAATTTCGAGAAAAATAAAAGGGAAATAAAACTCTGGAACAAGTTCTGCGCGAGTGTATTATTGAAAATCAGAATTCACCGGTTCGCGAGAAAGGATGAAATGTTGCGAACGAATAGACCATGGTCGATGGTCGGATTAAATCAGAACGCGATTCTCGATAAACGAGTCCCGCTGGATCCTCGTATACTCTCCCACGTAGATCCACGAGGAGCTTCTATTCGTGGACCAAGAGAAGATGAAGAAAAAGAAGAGAAAAAAAAAAAAAATAAGGAAAGAATCGAGCTGGCGATACGACTTTAAGGGCACGCGGAGCACGCTCTCGGTAGTCTCTCACCTGTTGCGGTGTACCGGTCGTAGCGCAGGTGGGGCTGTGGGTGGGAATGCTCCAGGTAAGAGGCTGCAGTTTGATAAAGAGGAAGATACCCTCGGTCCGGTAACACTGCGCTGCAGAACAAGCGTATAGAGAGGAATAAAGGAGGAACGAAGAGGGAACTCGCTTTTACCCGGTTGTAAAGGGGAAGAGGAGGCTGCCAGGCTGGCTGGCACGCTACGTGAGCGGCATGCACGCACATCCTCTCTTCTGCTTCATCTTCAGCTTCTTTCCAGCGCTGCTGTGTTCCCTTCCTTCCTTTCTTTCTTTCTTTCTTTCTTTCTTTCTGCGAGCGATTCGTCCGTGGTCTCTTCACTCCCGCGCCACGGTCTCGTGTTCCTCTGTCCGGTTTTCGCGATACCGTGCTTCCGAGGTTATCGAGGAGAAAACGAAAAAGGGAGTAATTAATTGGCCGCAGGTTAATACGAAACGCTATCTCGATTGACCCGTCTGTCTAGGTGGGGTGGTGTAGCGTAGGAGGATTCTTCTTCAGGTTCGATACCGAACTTGTTCCTCTCTTTCGCTCTCTCTTTGGAGAAAGAGAATCGTAGGAACTTCCGAGCGGAAAGTCGTGATCTACGCGACGAAACGAAGAATCGAAGCGAAAGGTTAATTCGTCGATCGATATCGTGATCGACCTTGCACACGCGTGGGCGTGTTCGCGCGGCGAGAACGAGCCCGGGATGCAAAGCGGTTGAATAATTTAATAAGCGTAGAAACGATCAGGCTGGCGAACGATTAAGGATTTCCAGGCGGTCGACAATGCCGCGTACACGAAATGAAATTCAACGGAATTAATAACCTGCACGCACGTAGGGTGTACACCCGGGCTCTGGCTGGTGGAATTTATTAGTAGCCGCGGTCGTTGCTCGCTGTTCGAGCTCGAGATTACTAATAATAAAACTGCTAATGATATACTCACTGCGAGACAACCGGTACTTGTAGTCGGTCAAAGTACCACCGAACTTATAAACGGCACCGATCCATAACCATAAATAATACCTAAGGCCGGCTCAGTGTGTTCGTGCGATC